AACACGTGTCTGAGTTTTTTCGTGATTTTTCCGAGTTTTTCCGAACACCTTACTACAGGCCATAATTTTGAAGTTATCAAGTTGAAAGTTTCAGGGTGGTGGTCTCTGGAACTCTATTGTCGGTCAGTGTGAGCGAAAATTGAATTCAGTATATACAGGGTGCAATGGAAGTTTTAATTCAACAAATTCGGAGGTGACCTGAAAGATTGGTTCGCGTTTTGGAATCAATTTAAAAGAATTGATGAGGACGACACCATTGCTCCTGAGGTTAAGTCCCAGTTTCTACTACAAGCAATGGTCCCGAAATCCCGAAGCCGTCAACTGCTAAAAAGTTTCCCTCAAGCTGCAAAAAACTACCCCACAGCTTTTGAAAGTTACTTGGGTTTCCTTACCTAGGAACTTCATAATAGCTAAAAGACGCCTTGATAATTATTTGATGTTAAAATTCCAGCAAGATGGACACTACCAAGACTGCAACGTTATTTTTCAAGATTGAAAGATGGCATTATGGAGCAAGTTCTCGAAGACGAAATTTCAAATTTAGGTCGTTACTGGCTTACCCTCATCGATAAGTGACCGGTTTTCGATGCATCCACCCACGAAAGAAATCAGCTTTGATTGAACCAATGTTTAGATAAAGGCATGAATGATATTGAACCTTCAGTTCTTTTGAAATTTATAATTGGCATATTCTCTGATACCCGAAAAGCTTTCCTTCAAATCTTTTACAATCTGATCGAGACTTCCTAGATTCCTTTGGTACGATGAAACTTAATATATTTTCTTCATACTCGAGAGTTTCCGGAATGAAATTCAATCCTTTCAGCCGCTATTCAGCATCATTTAGCAAAAGAATCGGATGAGAATTTAAACTGGGTTAATGGCTTACTGTACTAGTGTAGCGTACAAAGGGTTGGTCTTTTGGGGTAAATAAACAGAGAAGTATAGGTAAAAGCTTTACTCCCTATCGCAATACAAAATTAAATAAATCAATAATTGTAAATATACAAATCAATATTAACGTTGTTGGCAGCCGGTCGGTTAAGGTTCAGTATGCGGGAAACAATCTTGTGCCGAAGGGTAATTTTCTTCTCCTTCCTTCTTTCTGGATAAAGTTGCGGGGATAATCTGGCCACCCTCGCAACTATGAGACAGACGATGCCGTAGCTGATGAAACGATGGTAATACGGAAAACAGCTTCCAATTGCGGGGATAATCTTGCCACCCTCGCAACAAGACAGCTTCCGTTTGGCGATGACGACAAACGACGATAAAGGTTCTCTGGCCGGCCAGGCGGTGAAGTTCGAAGGCGTTTCTTTTGCGGTGTCACAGCGGGAAGAACAAGACAGCAACAACTTCTCGATTTTTCTATTTTTCAAGGTAACTTGATGTCCCCAAAATTCTTACGATTGCGTTTGCGCGAAGCGCGGTTTAATATAGGAAAGTAAAGCATTACAGGTCGGTATTAAGGAAAATTAAGGATTTTTCCAGGGACGTAACAACTAGTAAACTTGAAGATACCCCGAGTGTTACTGAACTGATGCTGCGTACTCAGCTGTAATAATTTTAAGGTCTCAAAAGTCAAAGTCATGGAAAAGTTCATATTCAATAATTCATACAAGCCAAATCAAGAATTTCCCAGTGCAAAAGATTACAATTCTCGGCTTAGAACTCATGGTTACCTTTATTGGACAAAGACTTCTTGCTAGCGTGTTAGAAACTCTTGACATACCAGAACTTCCAGTCAGACTTCAGCACAGTATTATTCTGAATTAGACAGGTCACTGGAAGACATTTGTATGGAATAGAGTTCAAGAGATTAAAGGTTTAACAAAAATAGAAAACTTCCTGTTGGAAATGTTCCTGGAGCATTAAACCCGGCAGATATGGCTTCTAGAGGCCGTTCTCCAACGAAGCTATTATAATCGAGGTAATGAGAAGGACCAAATTGGCTACTTAGAATTCCTGGCCCAAACTTTTCAAAATGCCAGTAGATTTTCAATTCCGTTGCATGGTTTTCAAGATTTTATTCAAATTGCCTAAGTAGAAAAACTGGTAATGAGGCACTTAAAGACAAAACTTCACCTATCACCGGACATCGAAAAATCTGAAGAATGCGATCATACAACAACAATGAAGTCACCATGATTCTGTTCTACAATCACTCAAAATTGAAATAGACGCAAAATCGAGGTGAAGATTAATAATTAAGATTAGAAACCAGAATCGTTGAACAAGAAGATTTTCAGAATTGCAAATACCCAATAATACTGCGTTCAAATCATCCAGTAGTCGCAAGCTTGATTTATTTTGTCATGTTTAAAACCATCATGTTGGAACACTACTATACATTTTAAAAGAAAGATTTCGATGATATAAGACATTCAAGGAAATGACCAATTTTAGTCTTTTTGAATTTACGTCGAACCTATTTGACATTTTGAACATTCGCAAGGAAATTTTAAATAAGTATCTAAAACTGCAAAAAATTGTCCATTTAACCTCTCTATCTTTAATAATAAGAAAGTCACCCGTGCAATCCCACGCGATCTGGAACACACTGTATAGTTAGACGGACCAAATTATTCTTCATGTGGATTGAAGGGTTTGGTCCATTCAATAATATTAAAAATAAGATGGCCAAACATAAAATTAAGGTTGGGTTAAGAACGCAATGGTTTTCTAGAATTAGGAATCATAAATGTAGATCGGCAACGCTAGAAAGATAAACTGCAGAAATAGTATGAACTGTATGACAAAAATGTTATGGCGTGTTGAAGCAACGGAAACTTGTAAAACTGCATCCGCAGAAGTTCAAGTGTCTTTAAATTCTAACAACTTAGCCTGAAGGTAATGTCTGTCTTACAATTTGTATCGATCGCCTTAACCGTTCTTTCATTGTTATACAATTCAAAAAGGACGTCTTCTATGTTTTGATAAAGGTTTGAATTTTACATATCATATGATAAATCCTTTTGAATAATACAGAAAGTTTTTGAGTTGCGGTATTTCAGCTTCCCTAGAGCTCGCTTTACGCTTTTCTGTAAGAAACGTGCCAGCGTTACTTACTTACTACAATATTTTGTCTTATACACAGGAGTAGTTTTATATTTTGCAATAATAAAAATTCTTTACCCGCATTGCATGACGAGAGTGTCGTTATTTTAATATAAGCGCAAAGAAAAAGCGGGCTGTCATTGTAGAGTCGAGCAAAAAATCACGAATGTGCACTTTTTCTAGCCCTTTTCGGAAATAAGTAAGGAAATGTGAATTAAGTAGCGCCGCTATGAGGAATTTGAAGCATGAAAGAAAGGAATGAGGATTCATATTCTTTGTGTTTTGAAACTGTACTAAATTCAAGGAAGAGCTAATATAATTTACAATGGAATCCTTTGAGCATTACGCTGCCAGCTTGACGAGAACTAAAAATTGAAAGTTAGAAAAATGTCTTATTGATTGTAAAGGAAAACAAGAGCAAAATTACAGATTGTATATACTGAACAAATCTGAATTATTATTAGCCATTAAAACATACTTGCATTTTTGTTATACTTTAATAATCGTTTTGTAAGGGGATCATTTACTTACTCTGTCGTTATATTACACCGACTTTATGGTTCAATGGTAGAGCGTTGGGCTATAAAGTCGGAGGTTGGGTGTTAGAACCTGGACTGAATTTTTCATCTGTGACAGAGATGGGAATTTCCTTAGACCAGTTTTGAGCATTTTGCCGGCTACTCCGAATTAGGTTTTCCTGCAGTTTTCCTAATTTCTAAGGTAAATACCGGAGTAGTATAGAACAACTTAGGAGGTGGTTCACGATATCGCGTTTATATAAAGGAGTTTGAAGAAAGAAAAGGCTGATAAACTCGGAATTTTACAGTCTTGTAATGACGTCATTTTTGTCTATCCTTGTTTAACTAATGTAAAATGACAATGACAAAAAATTTTGCCGAAATGTTGTTGTGAAATGTTGTTGTCGTGGCTAAATTTTACCTGAAATGCTTGTCAAGTGATTGTCAGTTTTGAAGTTTTGAAAACGCCAAAGCGTCAAAACATGCCGCCAAAAAACCCTCATCGATTTAACGAACAAACACAGTTAATAATTCTAAATGTGTTGGCTTTCTTTCAAATTGAACAGGAACAAGTTCGGAATGGCATACCACTAGACATCAACAATGTTATACAGCGAGCTGCACAAGCAACGAAAGTCAGCCCAACAACCATTTCAAATTTGAGAAAAAATGGTGTAAAATCCGACAAAGATTACGCATCTAATGTCTCTTCCAAGCAAAAGATTAACAAGACGAAAATCACAGAATATTTGAAGAATAAAATTCGGGATACAATCTATTATATGTACTCCCAAAAGGAATATGTTACACTGGCAACTATTAGGCAAAAATTTCTGGAGCAAAACGAATATTTTCAATTTTCCATTGATTCATTGAGAAAGTGGATCAAAAGTATGGGTTTTAAATGGAAGAAGTCCAATAACAGAAAATATCTTATGGATTTACCGGATATTGTCTACAAACGAATAAAATTCTTAAGGGAGTACATTGAAAACAAAAATTTGGGACATGAGGGTTATACTCCGGTTTTTATGGATGAAACCTGGATATTTAGTAAGGGATCATTTCGAAACAGCTGGCAAGATGATACTAAGCACACGGAATCAATTAAACCCAATGAAGGTAAAATAAGATATTATAATACCTTTTCAATATTATTAAAAGAGATATTCTTTACGTCATCGATACATTATTGTCCACGCTGGGACGAACGATGGCTTTATTGGTGGGGCAAGTTTGATTTTTAAAAGTGGAAAAAAAACAGGGGACTATCATGATAATATGAACAGGGGTAATTTTGAAAATTGGTTCAAGACTCAACTGGTGCCAAATCTTCCTGAAAAATCTTTAATTATTATGAACAACGCAAGCTACCATTCTGGCCTTTTAGAGAAAATTCCCACCAAATCATGGACAAAACAAAGAATGATAGAATGGTTAGGGGAAAAAAATATCGGCTATCCAGAAAAGCCAATGAAGGATCAAATATGGAGCATTGTCAGCGCAAACTGCCCCAAAGAGAAAAAGTACTACCTTGATGAATATGTTAAGCCTTTAGGACATAAAATTTTACGGTTACCGCCATACCACTGCCAATTTAATGCGATTCAAATGGTGTGGTCTCAGTGTAAACGAAAATACGATCAGTACATTGCAAATTTTAAGGGATCACCACAAGAGGTTTTGGCAACATGGGAAAGGGTTATCGGGGAGATTTCTAGGGATATCGGGGAGATTTCTAGGGATAATTGGGAGAAATACGTAAACCATACGGACAAAGTAATACAAGAGGCTTGGGGAGCAGTACAAGTTTGTGATGCTTCTGACATCCCACCTTTTGTTATCACTACAGACGCAGATGACGACCTTACTGACGACGAATACTTTGATTTTGACTCTGACGATACGGACGAGGGCGACTAATTTTCTTCTAATATTGTGACCATTACAATCGCAATAAATTGGCATTGGTATATTTTTGTTTTACGATTTTGATTTTCCAACTATTCATCAAGGTAGTGCAATTTTTTCTTGTGTAGATGTGGTTCTTTGAATTTTTATGTACTCCTCTGCTAATTATTTTTTGGGTCTTTTCGGGAGTATTGATTCCTAAATAATATTCTGTGATTTTCGTTTTGTTAATCTTTATTTATTTAAAAACAAAAATATGTTAATATTACTTATATGTTAGTTGAGCAAGTTATTAAAATAATTAGTGAGTAAATTTTTTGAAATACTAACATTTTATCCATCGCGGTTTCGCTCGCAAAAAATATGAACTATTCGCATTTTTTAACATGTTAAAAATTTATTTTCGATATCTTCAGTCGTTTAGGCTGTGCGTTGATATCTCAGTCAGTCAGTCAGTTAATTAGGACTTCTTCTTTTATTAAGACCTATAGATTTCTTGTGGAAATTGACTTAATTATTATCAAAAAATGCTAAAATATTATGTACACCACTGTATAGTAAAAGTCATGCAGGTAATTAGACACCAGTAGTCAGTTACTTAGCAACAAATAAATTTAATAGGACATACGTTTTTTCCCACGAAAATGACGTCATTACACGACTGTAAAATTCCGAGTTTACCTTTTTATGGCTACCGCTTTTGTGTAGACTTTCGGCGACTAAATCAAGACAGCCAAACGGATGCTTATCCGCTCCCTTACGTCAACACCACGCGCGACAGGATAAGGGATGCAAGACACTTGACATGGAGTCCGTACAATGGCAGAACCAGATTCCAGTTACGTAAAATGCCCTTTATCCTTCACAATGCAATTTGATCAAGGTTAATAGATCGTTTTATTGGAGCTGACCTAGAACCTAATGTATTCAGCTACTTGGATGACATCATAAGCAGTCAAACCTTCGAACACCATCTTCCAAGACACAGTTTTACAGCAAAGCTTTTGTAAACTTAGCATCGAGTTATAATTGTCATCTATCCCACTACCATCCACAGGGTAATCATAAGGAACCCCCAGGGGATGCCCCTTGTAATTCTGTGATCTGCACAAAAGGTCAAAGATTATACACGACATCTACGATCAGGATCAGGTCAAACAAAACTTGGAAGAGGAATTATGTTGTATCTGATGCAGCTAGCTACTTCGCAGCCAAACTTGCATCCAAATTTGTAAGACCATTTATTGTCAATAGGAAAGTTTATAAGTGGGTTTACGAACTTAATGATCTCGATGGTACCGTGTTGAAAAATTTGCGACCATACCTTCAAGCACAGATAGTCCTAAAATTTATTCCGATGATTCCCGAGCTCATCGACGCTCACAACAATCGCGAGGCTTTATTAAATTTTGTCCTTGCTAATGCGCAGAACGATGAAAAACCATACCTTAGCGTTTCAACATATAACCGAGTGTTTTTGAGCCTTCTGGATTCTGGAACCTCGCGCACTATCCTGAGTCACGAAGGTTGGAAGCTTTTAAAGGATTGCTGCAAATGGAAGCAACTATCAGAGCTTTGGCACTGTATTCTTGCAAACTACCTTACGGCATAAGTCTTGGATCGTGAAAGTTCTAATGGTCCCAAAAGTTCCAAATTGTCTGATCCTTGGGGCAGATTTTTGGAAGAAGATGGTGATAGTTGCAGATTTAATTCTCAGCTAATCCTTCTTGTTGCGTTGTGCGGCATGGAAACTATCGCTTTCGTGTAGACTTGCGGCGACTAAATAATGTCAGCGAACCAGATGCCTACCCCCTCCCGTATGTCAACGCCACCCTCGACAAGCTGGGCAAGATGGTTAAGGCCACTTGACATCAAGTCCGCATATTGGCAGACACCATTGGCATTGTATAACAGGTGTTTTGATGTAAAAATAACTAACAAAGACACGTCGTTTGCTTTGGAAACAACTTGGGGAAATTTCATAAACAGTTTTTTCTATAGGATTCAAAATGTCGCCCAAAGAATATTGTTTTACATTTTTGTTTAAATTAAGTTACATAAAATGTATACTAATTACAAATACATATAAAGACGCATGCGTACCTATGGTTGGGCTATATACTTCGATACGTATTTATACAAACACTTTTATAAGAATCTGTTGCTACAACTATTAATGTAGTTCACTGAGTGTAGTGAAGCTCGGCACCTGTGACTTGCCTATATTTGCATGAAACCTCTCCCTAAAACTAAATGTGAAACTATGTCGATATCAACTTTTAATTCAAATTTCAATTAGTGTTAGCTGTCCCCTATCCCTATCCCCTTAAGCAGAGAATCCAACATTGCACTTAATAAGTAAAGGAGTTGTAAATGATAGTGACTGATATTACTGCGTTAAGTACCTATTTCAATAATACCAGTAAACGAAATCACTCACGTTGTAATAGTACTTCTACTTTCATGGGAAGCTTCAAAGGTGCGCGGTGTGGCTTCAGTTACAAGGGTCGTTCGTTCTTAATTAGGAGTTTGCCAAAAAATTAATTACCGTATTGGCTTAACTATGGTTGCCTCCTCCACGAAAGTAGGGTACATCTCCAAAGTTAGAAGAGATATTGTTTTCATATAATTACCTGCCAATTACAGTGACTACTTTTCTTTTAATCTGATAGAAATTCTACATGGGAGTAATAGATTATCACTTGAACTAGTGCACAATAATTACATTAATTGTTAAATAAATTCATATTCGGATCATCGAAATCTGATAAAATAAAATGTCACAAAGATTTAATTAAAATTTTAACTTGAAAGCTAGTTAATTATCAGATGAAAAAGTTAGATTCTCATTTATCAACCTCGTAATCACCCGAAAGGGCAGGGTCGATATCTAAAGCAAACTAACAAATAAAATCTTATCAATTACTAATTTCAACATCTAACGTCTCGTGTCGCCATCTCCTACCGGAATATAAACGGTAAACATCTAACGAAATGATAATTACAAAGGTAAAGTAGGAACGTCGCATAAAGTGAATCTTGCCTGAAGGATGTACCGAGTTATGCTTTGCATTGCAAGCAGATTTATATGTAGAAGTTTGCCGAAGTACAGCACAAATGTGCCGTAATAATTTAATAATAATTTGTACGGATCCTATACTCTAAGATGCACATCGTTACATTGTTAACGGTTCGGATGTTGCGGGATTCTGATCACGTGGCATTTCTGCGAACTTTGAATTTCCGCCACTTTGATCATTTTATTGTTAACATTACAGCTATTCATAAGCAAAACTCATATTTGCCGATATTGTGGTTTAGAACCGTTTCCTGTCGTAAACGTCGTTCATCACCACTGAATCTGGGCTGAAGCGCCTTTACCGAAATATTTACGGGAATATAGCTTTTTCGTTTGGAAAAGATCAAAGTAGGCGTCTGTGTAATAATGGTAGTAGCTAATTATGCGACAATCAAAATGAAATGTGAAGGAAAACTGCGGTTTTGAATGAAGTGTAGGTGTAGGTAGGTAACCCGTGATTATTTGGTACATTTATGATATTACGAAGTTTTGAGGCAAGTGTTTACGACTTTGGGCCAATGTTTGATGTTATCAAGTTAATTACTATGGAAAAAATGTATTTAGCCAGCAACCGCCCCCTTGGTTTTTTTCAGTGATCAATAACAAACCAAAAAGGAAAGCCGCCTCGTTTTTTGTTGTTGTTTCCAGTACCCCCATAAACCCCTTCTTTAAGAATTTTCAAATAAATCGCCAATCACTACGAAACGCACCAAACGTCCCCCATGGAACGCGCAATTCTTCGAAACACATTCGTTATCGGCACCAGAACACGTGCATTAATTAAGAGCTCCCCTAGCAATAAAACTTCTTATCGCAAACGACCAGATGTAACCTTTTACAAAATAAAACTACCACGTGCGTTACAGTTTTTCCTTATAAAGCTGGAGGCGTTTTTAAAGGAAATACCCTTTTGTACAAAGAGTAATGATTAGTAATAGACATTCCTCCGTAGTTTAAATTAAATAAACTTTGTTAAAAGTCCTCTATGTCTAGATAGTAACGGAGTAATCACCCCCCGCTATTTAAAAAAGAATAGCTCCTACAAATATTTTCACGAATATAGTGGGGGCACCCTTGAGTTAACTGGCGTCAGTGCAAAATATTTCAAACGATACGTTTTCTGTGTTTTTAAAGCAGAGTTTGGGTGAGCTTACAAAGATTTGTGCATTCTGAGCTGTATTTAGCGAAAGAATTTTGTGCAAGCTTTTGCAAAGCAATTAGTGTGTATTTTATTTATTAATTCGTTAAAACACTGTATTTGCTACTACCTATTATTGTATTTAATAAGGTGAAAATGTGTGAAATATAGTAGGCGGGTAATACAAATGCAGTAATTTAAGAAGAAAATGAAACGTCTAACAAAAAAATGAATGACATTACGCCATTATAGGAAAACTGTATTAGTGGGTTAAGTTTGGTTCGATGAAAAATATTTCTGCTCTCATTCACATAATTCAAGTTTTCAGTACAATTTATTACAAAAACATCAAAGCTTTTTCGACTGCAAATTTGCTTTGTTTCGGCATCTACATTTCTCATAAAAAAGACTTGGGAGAGATATAAAACCTACTCTGCTCCGATGGAGTTTGAAATACGACTCGAGCTTCGCATGCCGCTGTATTGCTCAGTATATCATTTACATTAATGAGAATTTCTCAGCGGCCACATTAGCCGACGGAAGCTCGCAGGAAGATGACACAGGAATGCCTTATCTTTTAATAGAAAAACAACATCCTCTGCGTCCCCAAATGCTGAATTCAAGCGTGGGAGAGCAAATAAATGCTCCAACGATACAAGAAATTATACTCCATTTTATTCCGCAAGATAATTTGAAAATATTGGCGAAATATCTTGTGCTCCCTCTTAATCGCGTTTCTGTTTTATATCAATTGGCACTTGTGACATTAACTGCGTTGGTAATCACGTAACAAAT